TAGTATTACAAGCGGATAAGTGGCATCTTAAGATAGTTCCGTTCCACGAGTGCTATATATATATATATATATATATATATATATATATATAATAACTAGCTAGATAGTACAGCGGGGTAGCGATACCAGGTATATATACCAGGTATATAATGAGTTATTACATATTATTGTATATGTGTGTTTATGGTTAATGATATATTATTACGTATATCATCATTCATGTGGTTCATAATTACAGCCATGAGGTTGTTTGATAGAGTCGACTCTATCTATCTCCTTGCTTGTAAGTGGATGTTTCTATGATGCGCCATATCTTTCCCGATCCCCTTCAAGAAATTATCATCATAATAGTTGCGCGATTGGGCCTCGTGCATTGTCGTACGTGAATGTGTGTGTGTGTGTTGTGTGTGTGTGTGTTGTGTGTGTGTGCACACGTGTGCGTGTGCGTGTCTGTGTGTGTGCGTGTCTGTGTGTATGCGCGCGTGCGTACGCTATACACACGCGTGCTATACGGATGTGTGTGTATAGCAGCTGCAGTACAAGGTGTATATAAGGGGCAACTCGGTCCCCTCAGGAGAAGCAAGAGGGAGTTTGGTCTAGTGCTATGATTCTCGCTTCGGGTGCGAGAGGTCGTGGGTTCGATTCCCGCAACTCCCCTTTTGGACGTGGTGCGCGACGGCGTCTGCATGCATGCCGACGCATGGATCATGTATGGATCATCGGGGTGCAGAACGGATGTAAACCTGGTGGAGGGATGCATCCAATTCCCCAAAATGCACGAGGTGATGATGATGGTGATGATGAGAATGCACGAGACGGTTCCGGTTCACTTCTCTGCCGCACACAATTGTGTGCAACCATCTACTACGTGCATATGCACCAGGCACTACTCGGGAGAGCTAGCTAGCTAAACAGGCGACCAGCCGGCAGCTTGGCGATTTTGCTGGTAAGCACGTGTTTTTCGGAGGGAGGGAGGGAGGGAAAGAGGTAGGGTGATGTTAGGGGCCCCTGCATGCTCTGGCTACTCACACTATCCTCAACCATACATCCTGTCCTTTGACACCCACGCACTGCACATACAGCTCTATCTAAAGTCTCT